AAAGGAGCTTCCCAATCCAGTATCCAACCCCCAGAGCATCGGCAGGGACCAGAGGGCCTCTCCTTGAATCCAGTTACAGCCTTCCCCAGAAACCGCCCATGGAATTACTGTTTCTGGTGTCTGTTTCAATAAACGGGCGTTGTTTGTTATTGCTGTTGAAAGTTCCACCTTTGCTTGGGAAATAGAACGTTTCAGCAGCAAAGAAGGCTCTGACAATCAGCGCCGGGAGGAATAATCCAATTGCCTTGGCCAGGGAGGGCGAGGGTCCTCCTAGGAGGTCAAAGCACAATTAGAACTTTAATTAATGAAATTGGTGGAGCCTCCACCAGCAGCAGCGGTGTGTTTTCCCCGGGAGTCTCTCACACCGTCCTGGACAGCCCCTCGCTCTCCCAAATGCATCCATTTATCCCAGAGGTGCAACTTTTGGGCTCTTTGCTGAACATCCAGGCCCGGCTGCATGTCGTGCTGCTCAGACATGCTGTCTGCAACTAGTATTGCACCCTTCCTAAATTATGCATCGCTCCTTCTCAGCAGCGCGGGGTTAATTATTTTCCATCCTTCGTCGCCCTAATTAAGGGGCCGAGTTCCGCTCCCTTCCCCTGCCTGGCGGATCCTAATGAAATCACCGGAGCCGCGCCGTGTAAACGGGAGAGAGGGACGGAGAAAATGTTCCCTCTCCCCCTGATTAATGCAGAAAATTAACCCGGGCTTAACCTCCAGCTCCTGAGTGAATCACTGCAAGCTCGGGGGGCTTCTCCGTGGGCAGTGCAGACCTTGCTGGTGCCCCCCGGGCTGCCTGGAGCGCCGTGGCACCGGCCTGGAGCAGGATGCCCCTGTGGGCACCAGCAGTGCTCTGCCACCACACCAGCAGGTCCTGGGTGTCCTGGCTCTGGGCATTGAAGACGCTGCAGAAGTTTGCAGCTCCGAGTCGCTTCTCCTCCCTGTGGCTCCAGAGGGGACCGTGCCGGTGGTCCCTGTCCCCGCGTTCCTGCCCAGCAGGCAGCCCCCCGAACTCGGGGGCTGTTTGCTTTCAGGGCTCAAACACCGAGGGGAGGAAGAGGATTGAAACCATCCGGGAGCCCCGTGCTGGCACCGAAAGGGCTGAGCCCAACTCTTCCTGCCTGGCTGGCATTTCCTGACAGCCGCCTATTAAAGTGGGCCCGGGCTGCCGTGCTGGGGAGGCTCCGATAAGTGGATCCACATGCAATATTCATGGGTGGCTTCAGAATAGTTACAGATCCATCACGCTTGGCAGCGGGGACGGCGCGCTCCTAATGCGGGCCTTAAGCACCTTTTTGAGCCGGAGCCCTGAGGAGGGACGGGCCGGGGGGCTGGCACGGTCCCCACCAGTGGCATGGCCCCACTCTTGCCTTTAAAGCCCCCTGCCCACCTCCAGGGAAGCCCTGGAAAGCCTTTTGTGGGACCTGTGGCTGTGGGGTGTCCCCAGGCACCCCATGACCCGCTGTTCCTGCCCCAGGCTGCTGGAGCAGTTGGACAAGGCCCCTCAGCGCAGGGGAGCCCGGCCCGAGCTTAATTCCCTCACTCCGGGACAGGTTTGTTTACCATCTTCTGGCCAGCACCGCCCTGCAGCTCCAAACCCGGCCTCATCCCCCGGGATTAATTTTTCCACAATCATTCCGGAGTCTGTGATAATCACTCCATAAAAAAAAATGAAGAGATTTGGGATTTTTTTTTTTTTTTTTCCCCGGCGCGGAGGATTAGGCCTAAAGACGAGTAATCTGCGGCGGGCTCAGCTGCATGCACACCACTAATCGCTCCCAACTCTTCCCAGCTTTAGCCCTTTTCATTAGGATTTTCCACCCGCTCGCCCTTGCTGAGGCCGGGCGGGCAGACACATCCCGAGGGGTCCGGCCGTGTGCCAGCCCACGGGGAGCTGGTTGGCGACCTCCCCATTCCAGAGGTGGTTGTCTCTGTGTTCCCTGAGTCCCCAGGAACCTCTGGCCTTGCTGGCCTTGCCAAGCCCAGCTTAACTAACCCTAGTCCTGCACTTGGAGCAGCAGCGAGTGGAGGAGGCAACGACACGCACACCGGTCCCTCCCCGTGGACACCCCAGGGTTATTCCCGTTGTTTCCCGCCTGGGGTTTAATTCCCGTACATTCCTGGCGGGACTCAGCCGGCTCCTGGAGCCGCCAGAAGAGTGAGGGCTCCGGGGCCGAGAGAAAAAACACGGCACGTTTTACATCCCGTTGTGGCCAGCAAGCGTTTTCCCAAATATAATTAAAATAAGTACATCTCTGGGACCGGCCTGAGGACGCGGTGCCAGGGATTTTAAAGCAAAATAACGTAAGCACTTAGAAAAGGGCTCGAGCAGACTTTGGGCACTTATGCTCCAAATAATTGTCCCAGGAAACCCGATTCAGCAGCCACCCGGGCTGAAAGCACTTAGGCACAGCGGGCAGGCGTTCAACAAAGCATTTAGAGACCCCGGCGCTGCATCAGCAGGAACCTCGGGGCTCCGGGGCGGGAGTGACTCAGGGAAACCGCGGGGCCGGCGGCTCACATGGACGGGGGCCCGCCCGCATCCCGCCCGGGTCCTTCCCGGCTCCTGTGGCTGTAAGGGTTGGGGTGCAGGGGGTTCATTGGCCCAGCAGCCTTCCCGGAGCTGCAGGTGCTCCCTCCTCACCGCCTTCCCCCAGGAATGTGTCTGCAGCCACTGCAAACCAGCAGCCTCGGCTGCTCCTGGGAGTAAATTCAGGGATCTCCACACCCCGGCAGGCTGACAAGCACCTGGTTTTAAAGGGACTTGAAAACCACTCGGAGCACAATCAGGCAGGCCGAGGCCCCCAAACAGCAGCTTCGAAGGAGGGAGGGACACGGCAGAGGGAGCCTGGAAAAGGTGGATTTCAGCAGGGGCAAACCTTCAAAGCACAACTCTCCCATCCCATTTCCCTAAGTCGAAAAGAGGGAACCTCTAAGTGATTCCTTCATCGGGCTTGAAAGCAGATCAACGCTCCTGGTTTCTGTGGTGTGGCCGTGCCTCTCCTCACCGACACGGGGTGCCCAGCCCAGCAGCTCCTCCCGAGCTGCCCCCAGCCCCTCACTGAGGCGAGGCGGCCCCGGGCAGGGCCCGACCTGGGCCTGGCGCTCCCGCGCAGCCTCCGGCGAGCCGAGCTGGGTGTCAATTACGGGAAAATCAATGGAGATGCTGCTCAGGACTCCTTCTCACCATTCAGCACGGATGAGATCCTTCACTTTCTAGCACTGATTCATTTACCTTCAGCCTCTCCAGGGGCTCCTGACATATTGCTATCTGGGAGGAATCTGAAGCGAGAACTGCCTTTGTTTCCACCGCAACTTGTTGGCTGCGGGGCCGGGGGGCTGGGGCTCGGGAGGGAGGCTGAGGCACACGGCAGGGTTGGAACATTTCTCACCAAAACACCTTCCCGAGGTGCTCCCAAACCTCATTTGCATGGGCGGGAAAAGGGGACAAAGGGGGCCAAAACTGGGGCCGGAGTGGCAGTGACCTCCTTCCTGCAGCTCGGGGTGCTCCGGCTGAGCTGTGCCCGGGAGCAGTGCTACTCCTCCCCTTGGACAGCTTGGACAGGGCTCAAAGCAACCTGGGCTGCTGGAAGGTGTCCCTGCCCGTGGCAGGGGAGTGGGACTGAGTGGTCTTTCCCAGCCCAGCAGCTGGAAGCTCTCCCAGTGCCAGGAGAGGTGTGTGACACCAGGGCTGCACAGGGTTTATTCCTAGCCTAGGGTTTATTCCCAGCCCCAGGACACACAGTCAGAAACTACAGGAGACAACGTTAAAGGCTATAGAACCGAATTCCAAAGTATCTAAAGCCGAAAACTGCAGGTGGTTTATCCTGGGAAGGCTGGGACTTCACTAGGACAATACCATCCATGTTGAGGCTGGGGACAGCGTGCACTGGGTGGACAACAGGCACACAAAACCCTGTCTCAGACAGCTCTTATATCCTCCATTCCCAGCCTTTCCTCTCCCTCCACCAAAGCTACAGGCATCCCACAGGAGCGGGATATAGACCTGGGGCCATGCTCGGGTCGAACTCCCACTGCAGGCTGGAGAAGCACCGCTGTGACACAAACCCCAGCCCTGCAAGCTGCTCGTGTTCCTGCTCTTCAAAGGCAGCCTGGTGCATGGAGAGCGTGGAGGATATCGCCCAGAGCAAGGACGGGGCTACAAAGACAAGATTTATTATTTATAAGGCACTTCAGTGAACTCGGGGCTGGGAGGCAGAGCGGGCTGGGGGGGGGGCAAAGCTTTGTGAGGGGAAAAATGGAGTTGGAAAGGACGCCGAGAGCAGTGCAGCACGCAGAAGTCATGTTCATGAGGGACATTCCTCGGCTCAGAAGTCAGGCTCTCTTGGAGTTCACATGGAATTTGCTGTGTGATTTAGGGGCCGGTTTAATGAACCTTGCCCCGGACACCGGGCTTTTAAAGAACGAGGGTCTGCCGAGCCAGCACTGGTCCTGCACTGTCCAGCACGGGGTCCTGCAGCCCTGTATGTGCCATCTGTGATCCGCGGTGTCGCGGGGAAATGTGTCACAGGGGGCTGGGGACATCGAGCACCCCCCCGGACACAGTCACAGTGTCCCCAGCAGCCCAGGCTCCCCATGGCTGAGCCCTACACACATCCAGAGGGTCTGGGGGATCCCTGCGGCACTCGGGTTGCCAGTCTGAGCCTCCCCAGCCACCCCAGGCTTTTGGGGGATCGCCGCAGAGCGCCCCAAGGCAGCGGGAAGGGTGCTCTGGGCACACTGGGGGTGTCAGGGTGGGCACACTGGGGGCCCCCCGGGGCTGGCGGCGCGTTCTCCGCGGCTGCGGGGGGGCCGTGCCGGGGCCGGGGGCGGGCGGGGGGAGGCTCGGCGGCGCCGCCGGGGCCGGGGCTGCCTCTCCCGGCTGCCATTTCAGCGCTCCATCCCTCCATTTTCCCTCGGAGCGCGGCGGTGCCGGCCCGGCCCCGGCCCCGCCGCCGCCCCCATGTAGCGCCGCGGCCGCCCCGCACCCGCCCAGCCGCGGGGCCGCCTCCGGCATGCGGAGCTGCAAGATGGTGCGGGTGGCCAGCGTGCTGGGGCTCGTCATGCTCAGCGTCGCGCTGCTCATCCTCTCCCTCATCAGCTACGTCTCGCTCAAGAAGGACAACATCTTCGGGGCGCCCCGCGCCGCCGGCCCCGCCGGGCCCCGCATGTACATGTTCCACGCGGGATTCAGGTGAGCGCGGCCCGGGATGCTCGGGATGCCCGGATGGGCCGGGCCGGGGGGCCGGGATGGCGGCCCCCGGTCCCACCGCAGCGGGGATGCGGCTCCGGCCGCGCCCTGCCCGGCCCGGGGAGCGGGAGGGACCGCGGGAGCGGGGATGGAGCGCCGGCCGTGGGAACCGCAGCGCCGGGATGCTGAGGGGCGGGAGGGCTCCGGCACCGCGGGGTGGGGGCGCGGAACGGCCCGGGGCGAGTGGGAACGGGTCGGTAGAGCCCGGTAGGGCCCCGTCCGGCCCGGTACGGCCGCAGGCGGGCGGGGAGCGGCGGGCGCTGTCCGCGGTGCTGATGGCGGCGGCGGCGGGGGCGGGTCGGGCACGGCCGGTACCGGGCGGCGGGTCCGTGTGCGGGTGTCCGTGTGCCCGGGTGCGTGTTCGTGTGTGGCGTGGGTGTCCCCGCCTGTGCCCGCGGGGGTGTCTCCGCGTGCCGTGCGCGGGTCGGTGCCCGTGCGCCCTTCCCCAGGTCCCAGTTCGCGCTGAAGTTCCTGGACCCCTCGTTCGTGCCCATCACCAACTCCCTGAGCCAGGAGCTGCAGGAGAAGCCCTCCAGGTGGGCCTTCAACCGGAGCGCCTTCGCCCAGCAGAGGTGAGCGAGCCCCCGGGCCCGGCCCGGGCTGTCCCCTGCCCCCGGGATTTCAGGGAATGCGCTCAGGGGCTGCTGAACACTCTGAGCTCCGAGGGATTTGCCGGCGGCGAGAGACAAAGGCTGAATCAGAGCGTTTCCCCAGACGGTTGCAGCTACCCCGGCAGGCTCGATTATTTCAGAGCAGGACACCAGGCTGCAGCACACACGTTATTGTGCCAGGACGTGACCCAGTTTCCTGGTGCGCGATTTAAAGTGTCGTTCCTCCGGGAGAAACGGCCGGGGGTTCAAACTGGAAGCACGCAGGGCTGGAACAGCCATGAAGTGCCACGTTCATGGAGGCCAAAACACGCCCAGGGAAAGTTCCCAGCTGCCGGCAGCTCTGAGCAAGTGCAGTGCTGCTCCTGCCTCCGGCTCCGCTCCGGCTGCGGGGGCGGGCACACGGCTTTGTGCGCTTTATCTATTTGCCGATTACACAGATTAAACTTTTCTGGAAAGGAAAATAGAGCCATTTAGCCATTCCAGATAGCCACTGCCATCCTGGGCTGTAATTTTGTCCTGACAAACGCCCGCTGCTTCGGGGGCCGCCTCACAACTCACAGTTCACATATCCCACCCCAGGAGCTGGAATCCAGGCCCCTCAGCTCTGCAGCCAGGCAGGATGGGGCTGCTGCACCCCTCGGGGCAGGGTCTGGGCTCCTCTCCTCCCTTCAGGCAACTCTCCAAGCACAGCAGGACAAATCACTCCCTTCCAGTGCCACCATATGCTGCCCGCTGCCCTCCGGAGGGGAGGTGGCACTCTGCCCGTGCCATCTTTTCCCCGGGACATCCCAGGCTGTGTGACAGTGGCCACCCCTCGGTGTTGCTCCATTCCTGGCACCACCAGCTCCATAAGCCTGTCCCTGTGCCACCCCCCGATGATTTTAGCTGATGCCTCAGGAGCTGCCTTTGCACTTGTCCGGCAGCCAGAGCCCATAATTAGGGCGCCCAGTGGGACTCCATTAATGCTCAGACATTGGAGGATGAGAGCTGGAGGAAAGGTTGTTTGTTTTCCATAAACACGAGCAAATAAAGTGGTATTGGGTTTCTAATTTTATGCCCTGCGAGGGAAATTCCCGAGCAGGGTTGGTTTTGTTTGCTTTGTAAGTCTCCCTAATAACCCTTGTAAAGCTGCCGGTGGATGAGACATTAAGGAACTCCATTTGCATAGATGGAGACAGAGCCTGTCGCTTGGTTTCGTGATTCAAAGCTTGTTAATGAGGACATAAAGACAGAGATATTTATAAATGGGCTCCTGTTAATTCAGCTGGATATCCGGGGTTTGCTTCGCATACCTCGAGGCAAACCTGGTGCACCCACAGAGCCCCAGCAGAAACCTGCCCACCATGTCCCAGCACAAACAGGACAATGTCACACACTCCCCACACCGGGGTGACCGCGGCAGGGTGTACCACGAGCTGTACCCTTGACTTACTCAGACAGTCCAATGTTTTAATCCTGACACAATTCCAAGAGGCACAGACAGAGCCTTAGTTGGTGCCAGTCAGAAGCGGAGCCTGAGGTGAGGAGCCAGCTCCCCAATTCCTAGTTATTTATATTAATTTAAAAGTCATTGCCACGGCAAAAAGAAGGGACTGTAAGTCCGTGTTTTCTGCTCTTTTGCTCTTTTCCCTTAGGCAGGAAATCCTTCAGCATGTCGACGTCATCAAGAACTTCTCCCTGACCAAGAGCAGCGTCCGCATCGGGCAGCTGATGCACTACGACTATTCCAGCCATAAGTACGTCTTCTCCATCAGCAATAACTTCAGGTCTCTGCTTCCCGACGTGTCTCCCATCCTGAACAAGCACTACAACATCTGTGCCGTGGTGGGGAACAGCGGGATCCTGACCGGGAGCCAGTGCGGGCAGGAGATCGATAAATCGGATTTCGTCTTTCGGTGCAACTTCGCTCCGACCGAGGCTTTCCAAAAAGACGTGGGGAGGAAAACCAACCTCACCACCTTCAACCCCAGCATCCTGGAGAAGTATTACAACAACCTCCTGACCATTCAGGATCGCAACAACTTCTTCTTGAGCTTGAAAAAGCTCGACGGGGCAATCCTTTGGATCCCCGCTTTCTTCTTCCACACGTCGGCGACGGTCACGAGAACGCTGGTCGACTTCTTCGTTGAGCACAGAGGGCAGCTGAAGGTCCAGCTGGCCTGGCCAGGGAATATCATGCAGCACGTTAACAGGTGGGTGGGTGGGTTTGCCTCGCATTTGCCTTGACAAAATACAACTTGGTTATTTCTGGACAGGTTGACTGTGACACACCTTCCTTCCCCCAGGTACTGGCGGAACAAGCACCTGTCCCCCAAGCGGCTGAGCACGGGGATCCTCATGTACACCCTGGCCTCTGCCATCTGCGAGGAGATCCACCTGTACGGCTTCTGGCCCTTCGGCTTCGACCCCAACACGCGGGAGGACCTCCCGTACCACTACTACGACAAGAAGGGGACCAAGTTCACCACCAAGTGGCAGGAGTCCCACCAGCTGCCCGCCGAGTTCCAGCTGCTCTACAGGATGCACGGCGAAGGACTGGCCAAGCTCACCCTGTCGCATTGTGCCTAAGAACCTCCAGCTCCAAGTGCCAAATGACCGTCTAAAAAAGTGCCCAAATCCAGAATTAAACGTTCTCCAGATAGAAGTCTAAACAGGAAAAGGAAACAAACCCGCCCTAAAAAACCTTTTCCGTGATGTAAAGATGCTTTTCAGCCCCCGCCCTTCCGGGGGTCTCAGCTTATTTAGCGGCGCAGAAGCTTTTTATCGCGTTCCGTGGGTGCGGTTTGTGCAGCAGCAAAGTGGAGATGTTTTGCATTTCTAGAGAAGCCGCTCAGTATGTTTTTAAGAGCTCTTCATGTTTTAGCCTTCCACGAAAAAATCCCTCCGTTTTATTGTCCCTTCCCCGTTAGGACTAGGTTTTAAAGGGTTTTGCTTCTTTTGTCTCTGTTGCTCTCGATAGCTCGGTGTCGCCGTGGCCGAGGGATAAGGGCGCTGGGAACTCCAGTGCATCCTCCCGAGCCAGTTCCTCCGCGTGGATCCAGAGATCCACCGCTCGGGTATTTTCCTATTTCCTGAATTTTACATTTTTTAAAGAATAACAAGAAGAAGAAGAAGGTCACGACACGGTTCGTACCTCAGCTAGGTGTTTATATCGCTCTTGGAATACTTCGGGGGTTTAATTCCATTTGGGACACATCCCAGTCCAGACCAGAGAGGCTGAGGCATGTTCATTCCCATCTGGTCATTTACTTTAAAGCTAAAAGATTTCCCCATTTACACTTCTATTTCCCCAGTCAAACAACCGAAATAGTGGCCCCATTTCCCAGTCGCAGGAGGAAGTCAGGCTGTTTGGAGACAGGACAAACCTGAGGGTCACTGAGGGCTGGGAAATGTGGGCCATTATGCCTCGGGATAAAGAATCCTGGGAAATAACTGGGTTCCTTATCACAGCAAGTATTTCAACATTTTTTTCCTCTTCTGTGTGAGAACTGACCACGCACTGAAAAAGGGATGCAAAATCCCATTTGAATCATACTTTAAAATGGCACGTGCTAATTTTTCTCAGCCTCTTTACCTACAAGCAGCTGTAGGAGGTGAGGAAGGAGGTCTCTGGCACAACACCCAAGCCAAGCAGCCCCGAGCATCTCCCGGTGCCCGTCGTGGCACCGCAGCTCCACCGCCCCCAGAGCCAGCCCCGTTCTCCCCTGCCTCCCTTCCTCATTGGAATTAGCCCACATTTCCCAGATTTGCTGGTGCAGAGGCTGTTTAGGGCTGTGGAGGGGCTTGGCTCAGCTCATGGTGGATATTCTCACCTCTCACCGGTGTTGTCATCACCTGTGAGGGCCTGAACCTGCCAGGGGCTTGTGCTTATTAATGCCAGATATTTTTCATCCATTGCCTGCAGGGAGCGATCATTTCTAATCAGCAAATTAAAGGAATGTGAACTGCCATCGTTGTATCGGAAGGAAAGCAGGGCCTGATGTGCTCCGTGCAGTTTTTGGCACCTGAAAGAGGGACAGTGCCCGGGACAGGCCTGGCACCGCGACCGGAACTTTCCAGAGGCACCGAGCGCGGAGGGGGAAGCACAAAACCCGCCGCAGAGATTGGGAAAGGGGAGCACAGCAAAAAAATTATTGACAGAGCTCCATATTACAGCATTGATTTTCCAGCCAAACTCCCCGTCGACGGCGCAGCCCCACGTCGAACATTCCAGAATCATTGATTCGAACGGGGCTCCCGCCCCGCGGTCGATGGCGCAGCACAGCCCAAAGTAAATTGCTTCTCGGTATCAATATTTCTCTTTTTTTGCGGGGTGGAAAACCACCTCCAAACGTGCAGCTTTTGTCGGGGGATCCGGTGGGATCCGAGGGAGGGCTGAGTACGGAAGGGGATGGAGAGGACAGTGGCAGAGGGGCTGCCTCTCTGCAGCAGAAACGCCTTTCCACGGATAAACCAGTCCCTTATTGCGTATTTAATTGTTGTTCAGAAGGTGCCTCCCTGCTCAGGACGGCCAGCAGCGCCTCGGCTGGGCCCTTCCTTCCCTCTGTTCGGCCCCAAATGTTCCTGCACGAATCCCTGATGGCTCAGGGAGAACCCTCCCTCTCCTGAGGACGAGCCAAGAGAGCTGATGCGGCAGGGTCGATATCTGTAAGTACAGAACATTTCAGGTTCCAAAATCCAGAGGAACCCTCCCGTCCGGCTCCTTCCATCGGGACACAGACCCTGTCCAGTGGCAGCCACATCCTGCTCCAGCCCCTCTGCCAAAGGGAGGGGGGGCCAAGGACCCCCCTCAGGGGGTGCTGGGGGTGTACATAGGATTGGAAATGCGTGTTCCCTTTCTCCTTTCACACCTCTTGGGGGTGGATTTTCGTTGCTTGCATCTCCTCAGAGGCGGCTCACGAAAACAGGCGTTTGGGCTGCCGGGTTGGCTGGTGGAGGAACCCAAAAAACAAGTGTTTGTGACACAGAACCGACTGTGAACGGGGGCCGCGGAAACGTGAAAAAGCAGGTTTTCTGTCAATGAATGTGTCTTCATTCCAATGGCTCTACAGTTCAACAATGCCTGAGGCAGTTGTTTTCGATAAAAAAATATAAATATTTAAGAAAAAAAGAAAGAAAAAAAGAAAAAAAAAAGAAAAAAATGCCATAATTGTAATAAAGGTTCCATAATTAATGGCCATACTAAAAGCATTGTTTATTTTGAAATGGCTGATGTTCACAAGGGGCCAGGGCGTGTCTCAGGTGAGCGGTGGGAAGGACACTGGTGTCCAGCCTCACACCCCTGGAGAGCCTCGAGAGCAGGACTGGGGGCACTGGGCCCTGGCCAGGGGTGTCCCCAGCCCCGAGGCCGGGGCGGGGCTGCACAGCACAGCCTGCCCTGGCTCCTCTCGTGGCAGTGAGCTCCCGGTGTGCCCCTGCAGTGTGATGTGCCTGCAGCGTTGACTCATGTGCCATAACCCGATATTGAATGCGTTGTTTTTAAATAAAATGGTTTCTTGTGCATTGGGAGTCCGCAAAACTCCGCCGCGTCCGCTTCTTCCTTATTGCGGTTTCCCGAGCTGCTCACAGCCACTGACAGGTTTCACTGGAAAACTTCCCCAAAGGGGTTGCCAGAGGTGTTGCCGAATGTTCCCCATATTCCATTATGCAGCCCGACAAGCACGGTGTGATGGATCAGATTCCGCACTCCCCTGGAATATGCGGAGATACAAAGCCCGGGAATCTGTGCCCGGCTCAGCTCTGGGTGTCTGCTCATTCACATGAACTACATTCCCAAGAACTTCTTAGAACCCACTCCTGGTACTTGGCCACTTCCCAGGGGACTGGCCGCTTGCTCCAGCCCTGTGCGGTGTCCTCAGTGATTCCCAGCAGGAATTCTGCCGTGGGTTTTCAGGAGTTCACACGAACTCCCAGTGATGCAGTGCCTCAGGCTGGCAGGGGCCTCTGCCTGTGACAGCTCCTCTGCCTGTGCTCCCTGTGTGCTTCCCATCACTGCTATCCAGCACAGCCCGGATATTTATCCTTGGGATGACCCTGGCAGAGGGGCAGGTGCCAGGGTTTGTGTTTGAGGGACAGGGAGCAGCCCTTCCAACCCCACCATCCCACGGACACCCCAAAGCTGCCCCTCGGAGGGGAGCACGGGCTGCAGGCAGGGAGAAGGAGGAAAGCCAACAAAGCAATTCCCTCCTCCCTCCCCCAGGAGCACCGGGAGAGCCTCCGGCGAGGGCAGCCACGCGGGCAGGGAACGCCGTCCCGCTGGGCAACCGGAGCTCGGCGGGCTGGAAGCTCTGCGGCCCTGCTCCTGCTGCCCACAGTGGCTGGGCCACGTCCTGCCGGGGTGCCCAGGGACACCCAGCACCCTCCTGCAGAGCCCTGCCGGGATGGAACCGCCACGCTGGGTACGGCCAAACCACGTGCAGATATTTATACACCGTCGGGGTGATTCCCGGGAAGATTTTGCCGTCGGGAATTAGGCAACTACCGTGTGTAATAAAACATCTTCAGGGAATGCAGCCACCAGGTTTGCAAAGAAAAGGTCGAAGTCAGGCCTGATGAATTTGTTGGAGAACAAGGCAAGGCAAGATAAGGAAAGGAAAGGGGGAAAGAGGGGGTAAAGGGAGGGAAACAGAGGAAAAGGGAGGACACGACACCAGCACATCGGCGGCACCAGATTCCCGTCGGGGTCTGCCCACCCACCCCCTCCAGCCTGCCCACCCTGGCACCTCCACCCCCCCCCCGAGGGCCGCACTCGCCTCTCTTTCCCCAAATCAACTGCAACTTTTGCCTTCCTTTAGGAAGGACAAAAAGATTTCACGCATAACTTGCCCTGAACAAAGGCACCTCACGCCAGGGCTTTCTTTTCCTTCTGCCTTTCTTTTTCCTCCTCCACCGCAGGCTGACAGCGGCCGGAGTAGCTGGGGTGGGGAGAGCTTCCCTTTAGACCCGCCTGGTTAGTGCCAAAAAGCAGCTTGGAAAACCCTGTGAGCTCCAGAGACACACAGCGTGGAGGGAAACGGATCCAATCTGTAGGGAACGGGGTGCTGACACCCACAACCTGTCTGCGAGGACATTCCAGGCACCCTGGAGAGTGGCCTGGTAACTGATGGTCCTAAAGGTGACATTTCTCCCTGTTTCCCCCTCCCATTTTGCTACCGGAAAGACCCAGTGGAGGTGGGACCTTCACGAACGCAGAGATGGTTATCGGGGCTGAGATAAGGATGACACAAAACACAAGGACACGGCTGCTGCCGCCACTGCCTTACTGATTAGAGTGGGAGAAGCAGTGGAGGGAATGGCACAGCTGGGAGCAGCTGGATGGCCTGGCACGGCACGACCCAACGTGTCTTGGCACGGGTGTCCTGCTGTGCCAGAGCAGGTCAGTCCCCACTTGCCACTGGGTGATGGGGGATCCTGTCCCTATGGGCCCTGTGCCCATCGGGACCCCCGCCCACTCCTCATCTGCCTGCACAGCTTCCCGCTGCCTACTTGGCTGCCCTCCTGGCTCCACGGTCCTGCTTCCACAGCTCCCTGCCCTGCTGTGCCAACCCCCCTGTGCCCTGCCCCTGCCAGCCCCGGGGGCTCAGGGGCATCCTGGAGAACCGGCCCTTGCTCGGGAAGCGGGGAGACGCGTCTGCCCGTGTGTGCGCGGCGAGCGGGACCCCCCGGCCGTGTGTCAGCGGGGCACGTGGGCCCGCGCCGGTGCCGGGGTGATGCGCGTCCGTCGCGCTGTCACCGAGCCCGTGGCTGCCACAATAACCAGTAGCCAATAGCAGTGATCAGCAGCGGGGCTGCGGGACCGGGGGCTGCGGATCTGGGAGATGCGGGACCGGGGCTGCGGGGTGCGGGGCCATCTGCCAGGAGAAGCCGCGCCGCCGCGGTGCGGGAGGAGCCGCGGTGCCGGTGCCGGTGCCCTGCCGGGGCGCTCCCGGTGCCGGTGCCCTGCCGGGGCGCTCCCGGTGCGGGTGCCGGTGCCCTGCCGGGGCGCTCCCGGTGCCGGTGCCC